TACATGAATTAAATGTAAATCCCTTAAGCATGAGCTTTCATTCCAGTGGCAAAAGACCAAGACAATTCATATATAAGTCATGTAACCCTTAGAAAGAAAACATATCAGCATTCTTGCTTTGGGTGCCATTTACATTATTAAATATGGTGCTTGGCCTCAGATTTAAGTACATGAATGACGTAAAAGAAAATTAATCACTTAGATATCTGGTGAGAGCTAGAGACAGAAAATGACCACTAAAATTTAGTTGGATGAATTGATAAATGTAAGCAGCCAGTATACTGGGGTACTTAAGGAAAGCTCCATCCTTCTGGCCAGGGTACCTGTGTTTTCCACTCAGAGTGTTACAAGGACTGGCTGCATCAGTATCACTTAGGACCCTGGGGAAATGCAAAAGTCCTGAGCAGCACCAGAAGCATTATTTGTACCTTGGACACTTTTTATTGCTCCTAAACCGTGCTTAAAATTAGTTTAAAAGTATATTTATTTCTTACTATAAACTTTACAAAGTCATGTCACAGATTTAGAAAAATCAACAGCTAGAAATTTCCACCAGTATTTCGGTATTATTTTTTAAAATAATTTTGCATAAGAGATGTTATGCACTACTCACAATGTTCTAAGCATTTTTCTTAAGTAACATTTTAATGTCTGCAGAATGTTCCATCAGAGTGATGGACTATAATTAAATAATACTTGTAGTAAGCATTCAGGTCAATTCGACTTTGTCATGATCATACTAAAAATAATTGTACAGGAAGAGCTTATATGTGTCTGATAATTTTTTATGATATTTTTTTCAGATATTTCAATACATGATGAATAAAAGGCCATGAATGTTAATTAAGACTTGTGATATGTACAACTCTACTCTACTTTTGACTATAATAAAATAACATCTACTTATTTTAAGTATTATACTCTATTCAAACTATAATGTATTTCATATAGTTCAACCAAAATATTCCTTAAATATGTAATAGTACTTGTCCGTGATGAAGCTTTCCAAATAGTCATTATATATCCCATATAGTGTTCATATATTAAAATCCATAATGATAGAATTGAAGCTGAAACCTTATAAATTGAAGAAAAAGTGTAAAAGACACTATTATTCATAATTAGATCATATAGGAGCAGTCCTTGGAACTTACACTGTCATGCCAAATAAATATCTACTGGAAAAACCCACTTAAGAAGAAATATAAAAGTCTTTGAAGTAAATCAAATAAAATGGAGTGTGAAACGTCTAATAAATTATACTTCATTGAGAGACTTCAGGAATGACTTACAAAATGTAAAATGTACCATGTTCATAGACAAAAAAAAAAATTCAAAATGGTATCAAATGTACTTAAGTTACAGAATGAAACTGCAAGCTAAATACAAATAGGGTTGTTCATGGGATTTACTAAGCTATTTTTAAAATTATGAAGAATCAAGGAAAAGAGCTGCTGGGGAAAGGGAGCTTGGCCTGTGTTAAATCAGGATTTACAATGAAGGCTCTAGGAATTCAGTGTGAAAGATCAAATATTAATCCCCACAGTAGAACATATAAGCAGACTTTATAGAAGAAACTTTATACATGGACTATATAAAATTTTAATATGACAGATTGATATGTCAGATCAATAGGGGAATAACTTATTCAATATATGTCCCTATTAAGATGTGTGTCTATATAGAAAAAATAAAATTGACATTTACCTTGTATATAAAAATTAACTGCAGCTTGATTCAGGACTTAAGTGACAAGTGGAAAACTATTAAATTTTAGTTGAAAATACAGATTATTTCTCTGAACTTTGATTAGGGAAGTATTTTTAACATTATTAAATACATCCCAACTATAAGATAAAATATTGATAAATTTACTTAATAAAATAAGCATTCAAAGAGCTCTTAAATAAGTATAAAAATAAGTTATGAATTTCATATATACTTGGTGAAGATATTTGGAACACATAATTGACCAAAGGTTAGTGTCAAGATTGTAACATTAATGTGGACAAAATTTTTTTTTAAAAGGAAAGCTCCTAGAAGAATGAGCAGAAGACCTAAATAGGCACAAAAGAAAAACACTAGGCAATTAAAATGTAGAGGTATCAAAAACCATTATTAATTAGGGATTGGCCAGAGTTTTAATATCTCACAACATTGAGTGTTGGCAAAGCTGTGCTCAAACAGATCCCTTCTAACTGTCTTTGGGAGGCAAATTAGTGGAGAATTTTGGGCATTATCTTGTAAAATTAAACATCAACAAAGGATAACCTGGCAATTGTCCTCCTAGGTGTATCTCAAGAGAATATTTTGCATCAGGATACATATGCAAGAATGTTCAGAGCAGCATAATGCTGCAAACAATCTAATACTCATGGACAGGAGGGTGGCATGATATCCTGGCTTATTCATGCAATATTATAATGCAGTAGAGGCCTGATGCATGAAGATTCGTGCAAAAATAGGCCTTCCTTCCCCTGGCTGCTGGCACTGCCTTTGCTCCAGCCAGAACCACCTTTCCGCCTTCACTCCCCATTGCTTCAGCCTGGAGCCCTGTTTCCACCTTCGTTCCAACCAGTAGCCGCCTTCCGCCTTCCCGTAATGCCCAGAGGCCTGGAGTGGCCAGGGAGGAATGCCTGCGTCATCCCCATGTCGACAACACAAGTGTCCTGGCCCAGCTGCTGCCATCTTTGTCGCATCAATTTGCATGTTCCCTCCTTATTGGCTGTGGGCGCCGCCATCTTTGTTGCAAAGTGATGGTCAGTTTGCATATTCCATCTTTATTAGGATAACAGACAACAAACTACATTGAGATGCCAATATAGATGTCTTAGCAATCAAATTTAAATAGCAAGTGTCAGAAGATTACATATAGTATGATACACACAATACCCATTTTTTTATGTTTAAGTAAAAAAACATAAAAAACAATACATTTAAAAATATATATTTGCCCCAATATACTATCTTCTATACTAATAAAAGGGTGATATGCTAATTAGACCGGACATCTTCTGGACATCCTTCCGGACAAAGTCACGGCGGGGGCCAAGGCAGAGGTGGTTAGAGGGTGATCAGGCTGGTAGGGGAGCAGTTAGGGGTGATCAGGCAGACAGGCAGAGGCAGTTAGGGGCATCAGGCCATCAGGCAGAGTGGTTAGGGGTGATCAGGCAGGCAGGCATGCAGGCTAGTGGTTAGGAGCCAGCAGTCCCAGATTGTGAGAGGGATGTCCAACTGCTGGTTTATGCCTGATCCCGGGAGTCAGACATCCCCTGAGGGGTCCTGGATTGGAGAGGGTGCAGGCCAGGCTGAGGGGAATCCCCCATGCATTAATTTCATGCACCGGGCCTCTAGACCATAATAATAAAATTGTAATAAGCTAATTAGACCAGACGTCCTTCCAGATGAAGCCAGGGAAGCCCAGGTCCCAGGTGCTAGAGGAAAGCCAGTACTGGCAGCCGGTTGAAAGAAGGCCTACTCTTGCACAAATTTTGTGCATCAAGCCTCTAGTACTATACATATATACACATACCAACACACTTGGAATATACTAGGTGTATTGGTTAATAATGGAGGATTTTGTAATCAAAGAAAACACAATAATTTCAAGAGAAACATCAAAAGTGCTTTATTCAAAGTAATGTCCATCGCCAGCTACACATTTTCCCATCTTTCAGGTAATCTGTGGATACCGTCCCAGATGGTGCGTTATCATGAAGCAAAGTTACTTTGCCATGTCTTCTGGCACATTTTGGTCATTTCACAATCAAAGAGTGGTTCAAATTGATTATTTGTTTTTGGTAGCGATCAGTATTAATGGTTTCACCTCCTTTTAGAAACTCATAATACACCACACCTTCCTGATCCCATCAAATGCAGAGCATTGTCTTCTTTCCGAAGAGATTTGGCCTTGCAATCGATGTTGATGGTTGACCTGGATCAACCCATAATTTTGTGCATTTGGGATTCTCAAAATAAATCCACTTTTCATCGCCAGTCACAATTTGATGGAAAACAGACTTTCTTTCATGCTGTTGAAGCAACATTTTACTGATAACTTTTTGGTTTTCCATTTGTCTTCCGTTCAGTTGGTGTGGCACCCATTTTCCTTCCTTTAAAATCTTTCCCTTTGCTTCTAAACAATCAGACATTGTTTTCTGAGCAACATTTAATCTTTCTGCAAGTTGTTTTTGAGTTTGACACGCAACTTTATCCAATAATGCTTGTAATTGTTGGTCTTCAAACTTTTTTGGACGTTCCTTCTCTTCCACATCGAAATCATCTTTTTTAAAGCGCTTAAACCAGCGTTCACAAGTATCTTGAGATGGAGCATGTTCACCATAAGCTTCCTGAAGTATACAATAACTTTTTCTTCAAAATAAAGTAATGAATTAAAACTTTCCACAAATGCTTTTTTGGCACAGAACTCGACATGTGTAAGCATAAAAATATCTATGATGTTAACACCTTCAGCAAATTTGACATATGAAGTTTTGAAGTTTGTTGTTAACACAACAAAATAGCATACATATCAAATCACATATATATCAACATATGTGTAACTCCATCTATTGAAAAAAATCCACATTATTAACTGGTATACCTAGTATATACAGATGGATAAACACACATATGCTATGCTTAAATATATATCAATACACACATAAATACATATGTATATTAATACGGTATGTTCTCAAAATCATGACAGTAATCACAAGTTTTGAGACAGTGACTCAGGTAGAGGAGCAATGGGGTGCGGGGGAGGCAGTGCCTGGATAGAAAAGATGTCAAATATTCTAGAGTCTGTGTAGATGTTTATTTTATTATTGAATATATGCATTAATTATGTTTTTGAAAAGTAAATGCATATTTTCATCTATTCATGTATACGTACAAAAGAAACTTATGCATGATACTGTAACATGCAAAAAATTGAGAAATCCTTTTAAAAACAAGTTCTATCATTTTAAGTCAAGCATTTTCTACTTTGCTTTCAGCTTGATGACGTCCTGAATCAGATCCATAAGCTCCAGAAATCTCTGGATGAACAGAAAGAAGTCAATGAAAACTTGGAAACTGAACTCAGGCACTTACAGAACAGGTAATTATTTCACAAAATGTGTTCAATTCAAGTTTGGGACCTTAGAAAAGAAACTCTTGGTATCTTTTTTTAAAATCCTCCTCTTAAATATCAATAACACTATTTTCATTAACAAGAAATATTAATGAAAGAAGTTTACAATCAATACCTGAATCAACAGACATCTAGCTCTTACTATTTTTTGTAATAGATGTCGAATATTATAGTAAAGACAATTTGAATAATCAAAAACAACTCCAGTTCTAAAAGTTATAGACTTTCTGAAAGGCAGTAGGAGCTTCCAGAATACATTTCACAGAAAACAGAATTATAATATCTGCAAGAAAAATTAACTTGTAAGCCATACAGTTTGCTGGGTAGTTGATAAAAGAATCAGTGTATTAAGTGAAAGTAATGGTTTGAGTAACTGATAGATTTGTGTAAATGTGTGTTTTATCTGAGTGATTGAGGTGACATTGAGAAATGTTTTCACCCTAGAGAGGTAACAATGAATGTGGTATAATTCTTGATACAAAGCAAACGTGGGCAGCTGTGTCAAACAATATAATTTGTATTATAAGGAAACTGAAAGGACAAGGCAAGATTTGCACTCAAATTTATACAAATATTCTCAGGAAAGTAAGAGATTGCCTGTGATTGAAGCTTAGATAAAGCCACAAGCAGTCTAGGCAACGAAGAGGGCTTTTGACTTTTCTGGGTAGACATTTGCAGCAAAACCACAGAAAAGCCCACAGCATTGGACAGTAGTATCTTGGTATAAATCAGGCTGAAATAAAGCTGTGATTTCCCTCTGAGTTAAACGAACAAAGTCAACTATAAAATTGTACTTAGAGGAATAGTTCTTAAAGATCTTTGGATATAGTGTGGGATACTGCTTCTTATTTAAATTTAGATTTTAAGATAAAGAAACTTACATTAGAAAGGCACTATATAAACTTACATCTAGCTATCTGCAAATGGAGCCAACTTGTAAAATTTAATTCAGTTAAAAATATACCTGGTCTTCCTCAACACCCCCCTCCCCATTAATTAGTGGAAGAAATAAAAACCTACTAATTGATTAATGAATAAAGCTTACTTTATATGAGAAATAAACTTGTCTCTTTCTAAAAGGCTTATCATTCACTGAGCCTTTCCTATTGCCCCTGTTTCTTTCTATGACTTGGAGGAAGGTCTGAAGAATAGGAATCAGAAGACTGGGGGCAAATAGACCAGCTGCTGGCCTTTCACTCGTCTCTGAGTGTGCACTGCTGAATGTATTTGCTAGTCTGTATGGTAATGCCTAGTCTATGTTCCGATGATGAAATGTGAGCTCGCTTATTATTGCTTAATATTTCTTTTGCTGAACTGGCTCCATCTAGACTGTTTCCAGTGGAGCCTCAGTTGTCTCCCATCCCATCCCCTACAAAGCAACTGACTGAGGGATACACCCATCTAGAACCTTCAGTGTGGACCCTGGGAGGGGCCCTCCTCTCAGCCACAAATAAGAACTGAGATCAGCTTTGAGAAGCTAAATGCACATTCCTCTACCTGATCATGCTTCTTTGCTTTTCGGTGGCTATGCCACACGTTGGTGTGGGCAGTGAAATGCATCTTCCTCCCAAGATACCAAATACAGGTGAAAAACAAGTCTCTCACTATATCTAGCCTTCAATACCTGACTTGCCCATCTCTAGACATAAAGGGGACCCACAAAAGACCCTGAATAGTCAAAGCAACTTTGAGAAAAGAGGAACAAAGTTGGAGTTATCACACTACCTGATAGAAAACTATACTGCAAGGCTATAGTAATCAAAACAGCATGGTACTAGCATAAAAGCAGACATAAATCAAGGGAACAGAATAGAGAGTCCACTAGTAAACCCTCATTTGTATGGTCAATTAAACTATGACAGAGGAGACAAGAATATACAATGGGATAAAGACAGTCTCTTTAATAAATGGTGTTGAGAAAACTGGGCAGATACATAGAAAAAAAAATGAAAAGTACCAGTTTCTTACATCATGTACAAGCATAAACTCAAAATTGATTGGACTAAAATGAAAAGTCCAAAACCATAAAACTCCTAGAAGAAGACATAGGCTCTTTGACATCACTTATAGAAATATTTTTGGATATGTCTCCATAGGCAAGGGAAACAAAAGAAAAAATAAAAGGAACAACATCACTAAAAAGTTTTCACACAGTGAAGGAAACCAACAAAAGGAAAAGACAAACTACTGACTGGAAGAAGATAGTTGCCAGTAATACATCTGAAAAGGTGTTAATATTCAAAATATACAAGGAAATCATACAACTTAATACCACAAAGACAAACAATCTAGTTAAAAATTGGGCAGAGGACCTGAACAGACATTCTCCAAAAATAGATGCACAAATAACCAATAGACATATGAAAAGATGCTCAACATCACTGATCATCAGGGAACTTATAGTTTATATTGAATCTAAAAAAAATATTGCAATAGGGAAATTGAATATTTTATGTAAAATGTGAAGCAATATACACAGGAAATAGTTTGCCTTTGGTTATTCTTATGTTTTTAATACCTATCTTATGACATGACTTTTACAGAGGTTAAAAAAATATATTCAAGAAAGGAGCTGTTAGATGGTGGATTTTAAATCAGGCTGTTGCAAATATGGTCTTGTCTCCACATCTCAAGAGGAACTGTTACACAGACTTTGAAGATGAGTGCAGAGCTAACATATGCATTGTGCACATTTCACTCCAAAGTGCAAAGGCCTTCCTTCAGTGCCCTGGCCTGGCCCTGGCTTATTTCTAGGAACAGAAATGGGATTGAAATGGGAAACAAAATAATCTCCAAAGCATTCTTGCCTTGGTTGGTGCACAGCTCTCCTCACTGTGGATGGGCACATCACACCAGATGGGGTGGAAAGCTTGAGAATGATTATTTTTTATTTTAATACATTTTCATCTGTTAACAGACCCATTTCTAAATCATTGCCTATTTTTATTTACTTCTGTATTTGTCTCTGTGCCCATCATTTCCTTCATACTACTTTTATTACTCGGTAAATTGATTCCACATGAACAATGGTATGTGATAAACTAATTGGGAGTGAATTCCTACTTAGGCATAGCCCTGTCATCTTGGAATTTCCATTTTCCAACATTCCTAAATTCCTTGCCTTTATATTTTGTGCTTAAATACCTGATATGTCACTCAAAATTTAATAAAATAACATTATTCATAGTAAAAAAATTTTAGTCCTTCAGTTTTAATTTAAGCTTTTTCTTGTTTTATTTAAAATCATCTTTGTGTTTTAGAGGTGCCATATTTTTAGAGCTCTGCAGCTATTGAGTAAATATTTATTTTTATTCTGATGTTTTTCTTGTTTCTTCCCAATTACAATGTTCTTGCTTGTTGGTTTCAACCTTTACTATTCTCATTCTCTGGCTTCACACAGGATGGATAAATGCTATCGGGTGAACTTCAGCTTCCTCTGAGACTGTCATCTCTTGCTTCATTTCTAGGCCATGATTTCTACTGGGATTGTGGGAAACTATTTTCTTCTCAGAAGCTTTGGCTCCCAAGCAGCCTCAGGATTCAGCAGTGTTTTGGGAAAGCTGGCCTTCAGGTCTTGAATTTGTCATTCCAGTTCCCTGTGGTCCCTGAAGTAGAGCTTATTTCCTCTCCCAGCCCCACCCAAACAGTGGTCTGTGCCTGAGTCAAGCCATCATAGAACTGGCATCTTCTCCAGGAAAATCATAGAAAATGACTGGTGGCCATCAGCTCACATCCAAATGGTTCTCTCATCTCTGCAGTTTTAGTCCATCTAGTTCTGTTGCACCTACATGTTTCAAATATATGATATTGCAATTTAGCCATTTATTTTCTAGTGGTTGGCAGTATCCTTGTCCTGGGGTAGGCTATTTTTTCTTATTTTGAAGCAGAGAGCCCATCAATTGAATTTAAAATTATATGATGCCACTTTTTTTTAAGTTACAAAATGTACTTTTCATATTCTGATTTCATCCTCATAGGATTATTCGGTCTACTGATCTAAGTAGGAGTGTGCAATGTCATTTTGGATTTTTTTTTTTGTTCCCTTAGTAGCTATTCATTGGAAGATATTAGAGTCCCTCAGCTGTAGAAAACCAGATGGTTGTGGAATACACAACAGTTGCTGCTGCAACCGTGTATTGTGTAGCAGATACTGGAAACTTCTTATACTGGTGAGTGGCAGGGAGAAAGCTCTCTGCTCTCGGTCCCTATCTACTCAAGTTCTACCTCTCTCCCCACCATGGAGACTTTGATCCAGGCAACCGACCAACACCACGCCCTTAAATTCACCAGATGCTCAGGATCAGTAGGGCATTTTTGGAATAAAATGTGTGAGGCACACACCGTTTCCGTAAGGCATTCACAGGTGGTTGAGCTAGGACCTGTTAGGGGAACCAACATCCCCCACAAAGCAGGACTACATCTTTTCCCATAAAATCTGCCCCGTCCATCAACATGTGGTCACTCCCTGGTTATCACTCCAATGATTCTGATAGAAATTAAAATATGAGAAGCCCTCTTGGAGTCGCCCATGTGTGCCCACAATGCTATATTAATTATTACAGAGATGGGGCTTGAGGAGGAGGAGAGCAAAAGTAGGGTAGGGGCCAGGGGCAGCAGAGGGTCTGTGCTCAAATTGCCCTCTTCCATATTTCCAGATTCACTCCTGGGCCTCTTTTATACAGAGTATAAATGGGTGTTACTTTGAGTCAATCTGAGAGTTTTGTCTTTGAGAAAAGGGTTTAAAATATTTAAAAAAGTGTCATAAATAAAAAATTAGTAAGCTTTCTATTCTTCCTTGCCTGCATATGTTTGATGTTGTCTGTTCTTTGTTCTTCTCTAAGGCTTACACTGTGCAGGGCTTACTGCTTCCAGTTTCTCCTCTACAACTCGCTTTGGGAGCTTAAGACTGATTTTGTTTCTACTAAGAGTCATTTCAGTTATTTTTAAATTGTTGAATTTCTTAATGG